CCCCAATAAAATAATATTGAAGTATTGGAAAAAATATTATTGGCAATGAAAATGACTTTTATGAAGTATGTGAATTCACATCATAGCATATTTTTGTATTCTGAGACAGTATATCTTATATGTATATGTGTATGCAATTATGTACATATATCTTAGCATTTTAAAAACAGATTGTTTAGCAGATCATTCATTTTTGGGGGGAAGGAACAGTCTAATAATCAGTATCCTTGTTTCCATAAGCTATAAGCATAAATGAGAAAAGTTATGGTTAAGAACTAAGGTTTCAAGAATTAAAGTTTAAGCTCATCTAAATATAAGTCATGTCTAAGTTACATATTTTTAAGTGTTTCAAAGTTCATAGAAGTTGACAATTCAATTACTAGATTCTTTACATTTTAATTTATAGTATAGAAATAATTTGAAGTTGTAAGATTTTCCTTTCTCATCATATTACCTGAACTACTGTATATGTTAGATGACATGTGGTCTTCTTGACTTATATTGCCCTGTTAGATGCAGCCACTATGATGTGGTTTGAGAAACTTCATGTGTGGCTTCTTTTTGTGGAGAAGAATATCATCTATCCATTGATTGTTCTTAATGAACTTAGTAGCAGTGCCGAGAAAATTGCTAGTCCAAAAAAATTGGATACAGAGTAAGTACAATAATTCTGTAATCTAAGCTTGACTGTTGGGGGCTGTAATAAATAATGTTTTAAAGTTATTGATCAAATATCAAATAATCATGGAGTATCTTTTTGGAGCAAGGCACTCTGAGTGTAAAAATTCAGGTGAGATTTCGTCTTCGTCTTCCCTTTTTGAAACATCTGTTTCTGCCATTGGCATATTCACTACCCCATACATCTCATCGCCAATTGGTATTTTATGAGAGGACATTTATTTAGTAAGATTAATTTTTAATATGAGATGGCAAGTTTGAGAGATGGCTATATTTTATACTGTATAGGTGGTCACTTGCCTCCATGGTCATCCTGTGGGACCACCCACTGGAGTATGTACGTGTTGTTGAGTAAGCGTTAATGTATGTGTTTCATGTGCTAGATGCAATTAATGTTAAAGCAGTAGAAATATTGAGAAACTAGAAAACCAGATGTCAGATTTACAATACTATTTTTAAAATATGCTTACATAAAGGATAACAATCATAATACATACTATTAAAAGGGAATATTATACTAAGATTCTTTCAGGATCTGATTTGCTTAGCTATATAAATCATTTTTAGAAACTTAAATTTGATCTATATATTGTAAGGTTAGTAAATTCTGTGGTTAGTTTTCTAAAATTAGTAAATTTTCTAATGTTTTCAGTCATGAGTTCGTGATTTGTGCTTTCTTTCTATCATAGATTAGGTGCTTTAATGATCACCGTTGCTGGTTTGAAGTTGCTACGATCCTCATTTAGCAGCCCTACATATCAATATGTCACAGTCATCTTTACTGTGCTCTTTTTCAAATTTGACTATGAAGCCTTTTCAGAGACCATGCTTTTGGATCTCTTCTTCATGTCCATACTCTTCCACAAGGTAATTTATCGCTGAAAGGAATATCCTTATCTGTAAAAATTATCTCCTTAATATGCTTTTTAATTAGGATTATGCTTATATTTCATTAGATTTATTATCTTTTAAGGAAGTAATACCTCTCTTCAATCAACCAGTTATTTAGGAACGTGTTAGAATCCCTAAACAATGCTAGTCACTGTGATTCATAAAAGATATATTTCTTGCCATATCTAGGAAGATAAGATTAAGTTCCATAGACAGATTAGA